GACAGACCAAATAATAAAAGTGGTTTATTTAACCCACTGACAGGCTAAGTAGAAATCCCGTCTATTCTTATTTACATACATACATATATAAATATGTATTTATTTCTTTAAATATAAGAACAAAACAATTATTGAAGAAACCATTAACAAATCATAAACAGAGAAATATATAATTAATAAAAGTAATATAAATTAGTTACATTAAAATATCCAATTAGGCACAAGAAATGACACTGAGAAAATAATATCAACTTCTGATATTTCTAATGTCAAATATCGACAAACTGGTGCTTTTAATTAAATTAAAAAACTTTTAACAAAACAATCGACCGTTATTCTTTTGCTTTGTTCTTATGCAATATCCCAGTGCATACTGGCAAATACTAAAAACATGAAAACAATGTATATAGTTGGTAAATCTCGTTCCCAAAAGTTAATCGTAAAGGTGACTTTACAATGGTAAAATGGTGCACAATCCCATGGCAACGCTTTTCGTTCCGTTTTGTAACTAGGCCATGCGTTTAAGAGAGATGGAGATATATGATGTTGGTTATATTTGCACTCATGGCCTGGTTACAAAACACAACGCAAGGTACGGTTTCAACTCGGCTGCCTAAGGGTGCGATCACATGTTAGCAGATGTCGGCGTAAAAACGTCAAAGCGTCTGCGTCAAAACGTAAATGCATGAGAGTGACAGAAACAACCTTATATCACTATCTCGTTCACACTTATACTTTAACGCCGACGCTTTGACGTTTGTACGCCGACATGGGACGACACCTTAATGCCTATCTATAGATTTTCATGCAGATTGTCAACATATAAGAGTAAGAGAGTCAGACAATTCAAATTATATGCTTTCTCTCCCCTACTCTAGTAGAGGAAATGTGACTGAACCATTAACATATAAATATCTATTAAATTGTAAAATAAATTATTTCAAAATAGTTTATAAAAATCATCAAATAATCACAATTTCTTAAGTTATTAAATAATTTAAAAATTTTTTACTTACATTTTTCATTATTAGGATACAATAATTCGTTTTTTAACAAGACACTTAATTTGAATAAATAATTTCACATTCAAATTGATTATAGTCACTTATTAACAACATCGTGTGAACTCGGTTTGAATTTTGATTTGACTATGTCTCCACCGTCGGTATTTAAGCCAACGCACACTTGCTTCGCGAACTCAAATCATGAATTAGAAAAGAACATATATATATGTGTGTCCTTTTCTATGGCATGCATCTCGTTCAAAAACTAGTTTCGCGAACCTATTAAACTTCAAAATATTAGCAAATGATGTTACATATCCCGTATTTATCTAAAGGACAAAACAAAACAGAAGCATAAATGGAATCGTAATCCCAATAGGAAACGTAATAATAAGTTGGATAATAATATATACATTGTTCGTCCTTCTCTAACTTAAGGCGCTTATATACCGCCACGTTTTTGTGTATATTCAGAAACATGCAAAGGTTTCATAAATTTTCTTCTTTTTCTTTTGTTTGTGGCTTTTGCTATTGCAAATAGCCAAATCTGATGCTTAATTAATTTTGATTAGCTGTGCTTCAGTTTACAATAACGATTGCAATTCTGGTTACATTTTTTTCAGCTTTGGCCTTCTTGTAATCAACTCATTTGGACTTAGAATGAAGTCCCATGGCATCGTTTTGCGTTGCGTTTTGTAACCAGGCCATGCGTGTGAGAGAGATGGAGATATACGTTCGCTATATTTGCACTCATGGCCTAGTTACAAAACACAACGCAAAACACTGCCATGGGAGTCCAGCCTTAGGGTCTTTCCAGAATGAGCCAAATTGGACTGGACGCAAACGCAGACGCGACGCGTTCCCATTTGAAGGCCTTTCTCCAATAGGTTTTAAAAAGTGTGCGAATGACTGCGTTGCGTTGATTTTAGCATGTGTTGCTATAGCAACCGACGCAGACGCAGTCCTTCGCACACTTTTTAAAACCTATTGGAGAAAGGCCTTGATTAGCATTGGGACGCGTCGCGTCTGCGTTTGCGTCCAGTCCATTTTGGCTCATTGTGGAACAAGCCTAAGGCGAGAACACAATCCATGGGTACGCGAGCGACGTGAACGTGTAACGTGCTGACGTCACAATGTTAACTAAATGGGTGACGTCATACGTTTACGTTCACGTCGCTCGCGTACCCATGGATTGTGTTCTCGCCTTTAGAGTGCGATTCCATGAAAGCAAAATACGTCGACCGAAAGCAGAAAATCATTAGAATGAGAAGAACAGAAATATCTACCTATCTCTTTTGAACTCATGATTTTCTGCTTTCAGTCGACGTATTTTGCTTAAATGGGATCACTCTCTTAGAATTTTATTTGATAAAAAATACCGCGTTTTGTTAATAATTTAAGACCAACGTACAACTGCTTTGAGAAAGCAAAACATGAATTAGAAAAGAACTAATATCTACAAATGATATATTCCGTATTCACCTAAAGGCCCTTTCTTTAGTTTACGTTTACAATGATCCTGGCTGTTTTCGAGGTTCACGCTGTCAGCGTTGAGAAAATAGAAAACGTGGTTGGTTGGGTTAGGGGAAAGGTGAATTTTGATTGTCTAAAATCTAAATTACTAGATTTCATGCTCGGTTTTCACGCTGTGTCATATTGAAATCAGCATCAAATTATAGCTCCAAATCTGGTAATTTATATTTTAGCCAATCAAAATTCACCTTTCCCCTAACCCAACCAACCACGTTTTTTATTTTCTCAGCGCTGACAGCGTGAACCTCGAAAACAGCCCCTGTCTTTACCGTCGGTATTTAGCCAATCCGGTATTTGACAAATATCAAAAATGCGCGGTGCTCATCATTTTTACTGTGCGTTTATGTTCATGTCGACACAAAAACGAAGAAACAGTAAGTATTATACAATCACTTAAAATCAGACAAAATCTAATATACACCATACCTATCTTGCTAACAACATTAGACGCAGCGTTCCGTGAACAGATTACGGAATTTGAAAGATTTCCTTTAAGGCCAACGCAGAATAGAATCTTTAACCGGAACCGCAATTGTAAGCGTAAGAATGAGTTAAAAAAGGATAGGTATATTGTTTATCCTTCTCTAACTCATTCTTACGCTTACGGTTACGATTGCGGTTCCAGTTAAAGATTCTATTCTGCTATATATGCTTATATTTTCTATTCTGCTAGATTCTATTCTATTCTGTTAGGCCTTTAACCGTGTTTTCCCATAAGTTAATTTTCTCTTATCGTGTACCCCTTCCACCTAACAAAATAAACATGCACATAGTGGTATCAAGATGGCGACACAACATAACGTCGTCAAAAGATTTGAAACATTATATATTTTGAATTGACCGCCATGCGTTAATAAAGTTACAACATTATGGCTTGTTGCATTTCAGAGTGCAAATTTATAATAAATTGATGATGAATATATCACTAAGTCCATAAATATATAGATGAAAAAATATATGTGACGCACTCCGAAGAAAGGTACCTCAGAAGCAAACAAATTATAGGTTGGATTCGAATTAGATTTATCTTCATTAAAAGTTAATTTTTAATTATTTGAATTTGAAACCAATATTCATTGAATATTTTGAATATAATGAAGACTTGAAGACCACAAATTTTTAATTCATAATTATGATTCTCTTTCTGTATCTTTACTCAAAAAATTTAAAACATAACCTCAAATTTTTTGCTTTTTAAGTACCTTTCTTGGGAGCTCGTCATATATTTATTTCCGATTTAACAAATTTAAAGTGTTATATTTATAAAGTATACAATTAAAGTAAATTGCAAATTTGTAAATATTATTTATTTAAAAATTTTTCAATTTTTTCATATGAAATAAAACACTTTATTGTTATATACCAAAAAATTTATTCTACACATTTATAAAAATTTTATTACATTATTAATATATTACTTAACACTGAAATATATACACGCTTTGATATATTTTTGTATACACATATATATTCCCCAGTAGCACGTAATTTTAGGCTGGAGTCCCATGGCAGCGTTTTGCGTTGCGTTTTGTAACTAGCCCATGAGTGCAAATATAGCGAACGTATATCTCCATCTCTCTCACACGCATGGCCTAGTTACAAAACGCAACGCAAAACGGTGCCATGGGACTCCAGCCTTACAGTAAATATTGAGAACAGTGCCTTAACATTACCAATATTGCCTTAATGTTGTTGATGTTACTAGAATAATGCTGGAATGTTCCGAACATTACGTGCTACTGTGGTTTACTATATATTTTTTCTTTAATTTGTTAATTGTTATTATTAATAATATTTTTGTCACACAACAGACACAAACATTAAACATAACCTTCTTAACTTATAGCTTGTTATGATTTTCTCAGTTACCTGAGTTTGTGAGAAAGGCAGAGACAAATATATTGAATGTACGCATGCGCGAAAATCAAATTTTCTTGAACCAGTTTTGTTTTTAAATAAAATGGTATTTGAAAAACCGTTTTTTAAAATGCCTGTATTCAATCAAAACGCGTTTTTTAAAAAACCTGTATTTCTTAAAAATTACCTGTTTTAATTTTAAAACCGAAAACCGGTTACGGATTTTCAATACCGCACAGGCCTAGTTTTGTTACTCTAGCCAGGAATACAAATATAGCGGACATTTATCACCATCTCTCTCATACTCATGGATTAGTACATAACAAAACGCAACACAAACCGAGACACCATGGTTTGCACTCTGAGTTAAAAAAGAACAGATGTATATTTCGGTCCTTTTCTATTTCATGCGTCTCGTTCTCGAACGACTTTCGCGAAGCTATTGTATTGTGCGTTGACCTTTAACAACGCATATTGTTAAATCCTATTGATGAAAGACCTTTACCATGAAAACCTGCAGGAAACCAAATTCTAAAGGTCTGAATGCACCTTAAGACTTTAACGGTCAGTCCTGTCAGTAATTACAAGAGAAAAAAAATATTTCTTTCTAAAAAGGAATAAGAAAAATTTTAAAATGGCATCAGGTGACGATATGGTAAACATTTATTATTATTATCAATACTATTTGAAACATTTCTTAACATTTATTTTCAAATTATTTTACACACATGAATGATTTATATGATAAGTGATTCTAACCCCAAACAACATGTAAATTACTTGAATACTATAATAATAAAAGTATTAAAAAATTCATTTTTTTTATATTGTACATTATTAAAAAATTTGATTAAAAAATTGAGACAAATATTTATTTATCCTATGTTTGAAGACTAAAATTAAAATAGCATTTTTATCTCCTGCAAATGTAAATTTTTCGATATTAAAATATTGGAATGTAACTTGATGTATATGTGCATTAAATTCTGCCATAATTTATATACCTTTAAAGATCTAGAAAGCATAATATTAAGAAAATTAATTGACACCAATACAGGGTGTCTAGCTTCCGGGAAAACCAAGAAAGTTTGTATTTTAACCTTATATTCTTTAATAAGTTTTTAAGAAAAAACTTATAAATAGGTGCACGTTTTTATATTTGACAGTTTTCCAATATGAAGTACAAATTCCACTTTTTAATTCTAGACTAAAATTGTTCACCAATATTCAATATTTTCTTTAAATTTTTTAAAAAAATTTATTTCGATCTCTAAATGTTTCAAAGAATATAAATTGCAAATTTGTCATTTTTATTAGTTTGTTTTATCAATTAACCACATTTTTAGAAATATATACCACTTTGTTATTTTAAAATATAGAAAATGGAACCTACAAATAAAATAAGGAATAATGACAAAGTTAAAACTTGTGACATTATGAAAATAGAAATATATTTTATATAAATAATCACAGTTTTCTGGAAAGTATCAAATTGATAGTATAATTCAGATCAAATTGTGGCAACGTTTTGATACTCTATAATGTATCAAGTTGATACAAATATAACTATCTTTTTTAAGAATGATAGTCAATACAGTATCATTTTTTGATACGTGTATTTGTATCAAAATAATACTGTTATGGCCGGTTCGCATTAACTGAAAATTTAAATCATCAATTTATTTACTTTTATTTACTCTTAAGTATTAAAAATTGTTTTATTTTACATATTAACTGTAAGAAATGTGAGAATTATATAAAATGAGCACATTATGTAGAAAAAACTTGTATTAAAACTGAATTGAAATACACTAACCTCCATTCACGTTGTTATGACATTTCGATTAAAGGTAACTTTACAATTTCTAGTGATTTTTGGCTCTAGGTTTAGTGAAATATTTAAGGGTGCGTTCATTCCGTTTTTAAGAGTAAGTATTTGATTATTACTATTGTTGATAAATTTGATGTTATTTAATAACGAGTGGTAAATAATTATAATTTATGTTATATATGTATAATAAGTTAATAATAGTGGTTTTCGTTATTTGATGTTGAATAATTTTTTAAAAATTTAACTGTGTAGATCGATATTTTTAGAAAAAATATCAGTGAAAATTATATTCAGTATGCATCTCATTAAAAAACCTATAAAACATACACTTTAAGTGGAAATTAGCAAAGCAGTAAAAGATTTCAAGTAAGTAAACAAACATTTCTAACCTATAAAATTATATTTAATCAAAAATGTTGATAATTTATCAATGCAACTGGATTAAATGCATAACATATTTAATTTAAAAACGTATTCTTCTCTTATTTCATATCAACAATCGTTTTCAATGTCTAAAATCCCTTAGAAAAAAAGACATGAGTGAGAAATCTCGAATTTAAATCGAAAATAATCGAATGTACTCTCGCAGTTATAGCAATGAAAATGAAACATAGAAGGGCACACTCACATTTCCAAATCAAAAGAAATATAGTACCTTAAAAACTCATACATAGTTAGAAGATGGAGCTACAGTCGCTCTTTTCAATATCATTATGAAATGGCAATTTTTATTTTAATTAACTTAACTTTAGAGAAACTAAATAAAAATTTAGGTAATTTCAAATGAGTCACAATAAACAATTTAATATTAAATAAAAGGAACAATTTGAATAGAAAAAAAGGAGAAAGCAAAAAAGTCGACCGCGAACAGTGGCGTGAAGTTGGCACATATCTGAAAGCTGTTGTGTACTTATAGGTTATGCGTTTTATTTTTAGAAAACATTGATGAAAAGTGAGAAAATAATGAAGATTTCAAGAATATTTAAATATTCTTGATAAAACTGATTTAAATAATAATAATTAGGTTAGAAAAACTAGTCAAGAATAACACATTTAATTAATTAAGTTTTTATTACACAGTAAATGTTATCTGCACCTATAACAAAGTAAAAAATAATAATTTCATTTATTTTTCTATAGATAAATTAAATTTATTATCTATTAAAAATTTAAGATTATAAATTATGAATACGAAAAACAATTTCTAATTACAACTAATACAGATTTCCAAATCCATGTTTGACTGTGACGTATAACTTATTTTTTAACTTTCGTGTGTGGAAAATTTCATGGTTTATAATATTTTCAGGGTGGATAGAAATGAATTCTTGATCAATGATTACTTCGTAAGCCACTAAATCTGTATTGTGCTCGACAGTTTGAACTTTTTTGCAGATGAAAATGATGTCTTCGCCTCTGATTAAGATGCTATAGAGTGCCGCAAAATGAGGAAGACACTGAGCATCATCATATCCTGTTGCAATTAAACATTTTTGAGATACATATTTTACTCCTTTGTATGTAATCCAATTTAACCTGCATTGCAGTGGTTCCAAAGGAAACAAATTGGAAAAAGGTAGTTTATCGGTAGCTACAACTTTCAATGGACCTCTGTCAGTAGTCTTTGTTAGGGGATCAAGAAGTTCCAAAGTCTGAGATAATTGATGTCTTACAGCCAACGTATATGGCAAATTTTTGTAATTTCTCATTCCTTGAACCCTACGTTTCGATTCTTGGTGCTTAGCTTCAGACCGTAAGCACATAAAATTCCTTAACGGTCCAAAAATGGTTATCAAACGTGGATAATGTGTCAAGAAATGGTGTTTCGGTGTGAATGTCGCATTGACACCATCTTCTCCGTATAAAGTTGCGTAATCCTGTAGATATTCCGCGATACTGTCACTTAAAAACTCTACCATTTCATTACTAATACTGTAACCAAAAACAATTATCGATATTTCCAAAAGATTTCTATAATTATAAAAATATGGGCAATTTGGTTCTACAATATCTTGAACGATAAACGGAATTATATAACCTAATGTCATCATTTGCATGGCATTTTGCTTTATGTTTGCTCCTGGAATTAGATGTTGTGCTTTTAAAGGAGAAGGCTTATATTTTGTCTCTGAGTAACCGTAATCGAAATTCTGTATCTTTTTGTTCAAAGATTTAATAGACATTTTTTTAAAATAACCTTTTGAGCGAAATGTTGTAACGCTTTTGGTAAAAGTGATAAGAGAATATCGTGAACGATATCTACTGGTGCTCCTTCTGTGACATGAAAACCGCTTAGTTCATTCAAGATGCTTCTAAACTTAATGCCATAGGCCGTAGATAATTGATCCTTTTCAATTCCTTCAGCATTTTCAATTTCAAAAACTTGCCTGTCATGTTCCTCAGGATTTCTAATGAGATCTAATTTTTCTTCAGTTAATGTTCGAATTTGTGAAAGGTCAGCAAGGCAAAACCGGCAACAATGTAGAGTTTTTCCAAAAGACTCTTTTAAACCACACGTACCATTTTGAGATAAATTGTCACCTATAGTTGCAAATAAACCTGCTTTTATAGACGTGTTATTTGGACCATCAACTTCTTCTTCAAGTACTTTGATATCATCTACAATAGGCTTTAGAATTTTGTTCATACCATACCGTTTCACATCTTCGGCTCTTACTATTGCCACTAAGAAGTTAAACAGCAATTGTGACTGATATACTGGATCTATTTCTGTAAGTGATCCGTAAATCATCATTAACTTTTGCTGTCCAGATGATTTAGACCCCAAACCATCGCACATGTCCACTTCATCTGAATATAATTTAATATGCAACGTTTGTTCATTTTCTTTCCACCAACTTTCGTTTTTGTATCTACTTCCATCTTCCACAGATGAAAAATAGCCTTCTCGTGAATCGCGATAGATTAGAAGAGAGTGAAAAGTATCATTTTCTGCAAATCTTTGAATCGTTTTACTAATAGGAATAAACATCATTTCATCCTTCTTGCGCTTTGTTGGACGACTTTTGCCTGTAGCGGCACTTCCACATTTGACAAAACGTCTACCCAGTGTATGCCTAGTTGGCAATAGAACATTAAATTCACTATTCAAATACTCAGCACGCTTCACTTTCATGTTTAAATCGAAAATGCAATCTGTCGACTCTATTTCATTATCTATATTAAAATATTCTCGAAAATGTATTCCTCTTCCTTCTAAAACTTCTTCAACTCGATGAAGTAAATGGCCTACGTAAGTCCTTACAACATTTTGCAACAATATTAGTATATCTGTTATTTGCTTTTCGGAAATATTAGTATTTCCTCTCAGATTTAATAAAAAACGACCTAAAGAACGTTTTCTGTCATCATTAATTCCCGGATTATTATTTACACCACCATCATCCTCATCCTCATCATCCTCATCATAATCATCATCGTCATCATCATAATCATCATAATCGTTATCTGTGCTTTGTTCATGTTCATCGTCATTTGAACTCTGTTCAAAATCGACTTCTTCGTTCGCATGTTCTCTATAGATATCTTCGTTTCGTATATCAGGAATATCAGCATGGTTGATATTTTCGTGTTGTTCATCGTTTTCCTGCTCTTGTATGTTAGGCATTTCTTCGTTAATTATTACTTCACGCCGATGCACTTTGGATCTATGTGCTCTTAAAGAAAAGGGATTTCGATAAGTTAATGGACAGTTGTTAATACCACACCTTTGACCCTCGTTTCTCTCTGCATGATGAAAATTTTGAAGATGATCTTGAATATCGTGAAGTTGTAGAAATCTTTGATTACAGAATCCGCACATA